TATTAGTATTTAAATGGGCAAAGGAGTATATATTTAAAATCATACAAAATACTGGCTAGTATTAACACTTCGGTAAAATAATGACCAAAATACAAAATAATGCTTAAAGCATAGATAAAACACAGTAGTGAGACATAAACATGAGGAAACATGGATAGGAGAACAGACAAAAAAGATATGAAAAATTTATAAATAGCTTTAGCTGGACACACACATGCACATGTGCACCTGCAAATAAACAAGGGATGGAAAGACCTTTTAGATAGAATGGGTGTGAAAACATGTTGCCAAATATAGTATGGAATTACCTGCATGGCAAAGAGTAAGAGGAAAACCAAGGAGACACTACAGATTCTGGGCCAGGTCAGGCAATAAGTTGCCTAACCCATGGAGACAAGAAAAGGAAGAGATATTTTTAGATGCTGAATTCTAATATGAGTACAGTCCATGTCCTACCTCACTAAGAATTTCCTAAATAAGGAGAAGACACAAGCTTCAATTTGAAGAAGCTGAAGGAATAAACATTTTTGCATGTCCCATCATACAGTATTACAAAAGGGTGTTATCTAGTCTACAGTTACAAATGACTTGACCTTTGATATTCACAGCAAGATAAATGCCTGAGATTGTTACACAAAGAAAATGAAGCTGTAATAACATGAAAGATACTTGCCTAATGGCTTCTTTATAGTGCATAAGGGCTTCATTGAGCTTGCCCTGCTGCTGCAGGACAGATGCCAGGTTTGAATGTGCTGCTGCAAACTCAGGAAAAACCTCCAGGGCCTTGAGATAGAGACGAGTTGCTTCTTCAATGTAGCCTTGCTCCCGTTTAATGTTGGCCAAATTGTTGAGAGAATCTGCATGTGTAGGACAGAGACGCAGGGCAGTGTTGTAGCACTCCTCTGCCTCAACCACCTGACCCTTTTCCTTGAGAGCATTTGCCAAATTGCAATATGCATCTGGGAAGTTGGGCTGCAGTTCAATGGCACGGCGATATGTGTCAATAGCCAGGTCAATAAGCCTGCAATGACATATAGTTTATGAAAATAAAAACAAATAAGAAAAACACACGTCATTGGATTTAATATTTTAACACAGCAATAGCAAACTATTATTTATTAGAAATGTTTAAACAATGCAATGGAATTATAAAGACTTCTTTACTCAAATTATTCATAATATCCTGCACTGGATATCAGAAAGTGATAAAGAAACAGTTACTAAATAGCATAAGAAATTTTAAGGGCAATTTGGAACCCTTTCCCTGCATTAAGTCACCACAAACTGAAGAACACAAATTAAAAAATAAAATATTAACAATAATCTTCTTTACAAATTCATGCAGAAAGAAAGTTTCCTACTTCTGTTGCTCTCACTCCAGACAGTGATTGCGCAGGAAACTGACTTCAAATGCCACAACAGATTCTAAAGTGTTTAGTACATTTGTTTCTTAATAAATGTCCACAACTGACTGAACTAGACTGCTGACATGTCAAAACTGTCATTAAGTTAAAAGGGGGCAGGGTGACAATTTACAAGACAGAAAAGTTCCTTCAACTTTCTGAGTATTATGGCAGCTAGGACAGCAGGATTCTCTATATATAAAAAAAGGATTGTTTCACATGACACCACCCTTGCAAACACTACTAGACAGGTTACAAGATAAGCACTAAAGATCTAAACAAAATTTTTCAGTACAGTTCATGCTATTTTAGGTTTATGAATATGCATTGTGGAGTGTCTTTATGGCACTACCCACATGAGAATAAGTCAAGATATCCTAAACTATTATTTTAATATGACAGGTTCATTATTTACACAATAAGAAAACAGTGATTACACTTTGGATTATAAAATCTGTTTATGTTGTGGGTGAGTAAGTGAAGACTACTCTCATGAAAGCCCCAATAAAATTAACAGCAGGTATTCATTAACAGTAAAACCTACTTATAAATGAATCTAAGAGACCTGAGCATATTTTCATTTTAAACCCTTTTTCTGTTTATCAGATAGGTACCTGAGGGTGAAAGAACAATGTACTTAATGCATATGATGTATTTATGATTCAAATCAGAAGTCAGACATTCCTCTTACACATACACACTACACTGTTATTGAGCAGAACAGATTTTTAGTTTCCTTTCTTTTTATCTTCTTTACATACTTTATAAAAAAATGTTCATTAATATTCTGCACATACTTCCTCAGTGGTTGGACCTCCTTCCCTTAGCTATTTCTATTTAATACACTAATTTTACATTGATTTTCATCATATATTGTCAAGAAGTATTTTTGGAAGTCAGGGACATCTTTAATCCAGGTTACATTTTAGCCTGGTTTTATTGTATTTAATCCATTTATAAATAACAAATGTACAGCAATGTAAAGAGGGTTACTTACCCTTGTTCATAATAGACACAGGCCAGGTTTCCATGTACGACTGCATTGTTGGGGCTCAAGTTGAGTGCCCGCAAGTAGGCTGCTACCGCTCTGCAACAAACAATAGTAGCACATAACTCAGACTTTTGCATCTCTCAAGCGGTAAGTAACTCTTCTGTTAAAAATCAAATGCTAGTAAGGGCACCAATGAAGAGAGTGGAAGGCATACTTCTGTAAATATAGTAACTCAATAAGAAATTTACTACAATTAAATAACTTTAAATTACTCTTATTTGAAAACCATTACAAGTGAGACCTTGGAGCAAATTATGAACATTAACACCAGTTTCTTTTGTTGCTTTCATTTACTGTAATTAACATCAAATGAAACTGCAGCTGAATATAACTCTGTAAGTCTTAATTCCAATTTAAATCAACAAGTCAAGATAAAAAGAAAACATACATGTAATTAAGCACCCCCCATGAAAATGTATAATATGATGGAATTTAAAACTATTCTCAGCTCAGAAGTAAATCTGCTAAGTGATTATTTTAACACTATAACTGCTTTACAAGCAAGGGCAGAGTACCCTTTATACACTGAGTAGGATGGGCTGTATGGGTCACTTTGTTGGTCTGGATATGAAATAAAAAGAAAAAGTCTGCATCTCCATCAAATCTGATATGCGTAGCCCATAGCCAGTCAGTTTACTGACTGAGCTATTCATTAGAAAGGAATGAAGACAGATTTACACAGCCTGACAATTAAATAACCGGACTGGCCATGTTAAACAAAGCTATTAACCTTCAGTGGTCACTTTCAAAGTATTCCCATTCCAATTTTCAAACACATCCCAACATTTCTGCCATCCCCAGAAACAATGCTGGAAATAAGTGGAAAAGTTATTTTAATACTATCAATATATTATTCAGAATGTCTTCAAATTAATGAAAATGAGATCCTTCTGTAAACATGATAAACCAAGTGAAATATCTGTTTTGACAAATATGGTGCCAAAAACATCCCAAAACTTTTAGGCAGAATGCTTAGTTGACTGTTTTGGAACAAATTCACAATAACTAATTCCTTTAACATAAAAAAGAATCTGCATGATTTTGACCTTTGAGCTCTATTTTTGTCTCAGTTTGGAATTCTGTATATGGTCATACTGAAAGATCCAAGTGTCATCACCAGCCAGAATTTCTTTAAAAACTCCAGGTTCTTCCAAAACTCTTGTAAAAGGCTAAGAAAATTAATATTCTTCATCTGTGGCTAATACAAGGGAAAATAAAAGGAGGGATGGAACCAATCAAAACTACTACCACTGAATTATGTAGTCCACGTGATCCAAGCTGTGTCAACTGACTGGTAGAATCAGCTGCTGCACAATCCTGCTATTTAGTTGTCAGCTACTGTATATCACATTACACTTTTTTGCTGGTGTGCCTACTAAAATTGATTTTTACAGGAACAGGGTGTGAAGATGTAGACTGTATTTAGATGGTTCAGGGTAGGATCTACTGGAAGGTATCTGTGAATCTTAAGGTCTGACAGAGGCAGGAAATTTCTTGGACTAGTTGAGGAATTATCAAGTTTTCAAGAAACTATGTCCACCATGTAGATATGACTATATTGGACCCACAGCACACAGAATGCACACCTCTTGACACAACATTTGATCCATGCAAAGCAGCAAGCACGGGCAGCAGCACCCTGTGGTTCCCACTGGGTATTGGCAGCCAAACCAGGCCGGTTTGGCGGCAGAATGGTGATGATTGTGTACACGATGATGCACTGGTAGTCCATCGTGTCAGTGAGCACCCAGACATGTCAGACTTTCACAGCCAGTAAGTTAACACTGTATACAAGGTCTTGTGTGTGTATGTGTGGGGGGGGGGCCCAAATAAGTATACAGGCCCCCTGATATTCACTGTAAACTGTCTTCTCCACTTTAGGTTACTAAAAGTACTGTCCCTTCACTGTGCCTCAAACTCCTTAACATGATACATATTCATCTTTTCAAACTTTACAATTTTCACACTGATGGAAAGGAATATTTTCAGTCACTTTCTTTGATAGCCCAATTGTTTTAAAAGGCAGTGATGAAAAACAGCCTTAATTCTGACACTAAAAATGTACAATCAACTAATATCCAGTACAGACAGAAATGAATGCAAACAATCTCAGTGAAAGACACCTCATAACAGATAGAGCTATCATTGTTATTTGTGTTGAGCATTCCAGTCCTGCTCAAGGTATGGACATTTACTTTATTACGTTCCATAAAAACCTATCATATTTTTAGTCTTGCAGAAAAAATATGATTAACCAGAGCTTTCAATTAAGTTACTGTCTACTCATATAAACCACATGGCAAATACTAAAACAAAAAAATAAAGTGGCTGTTCTTAGAGAACTGCATGGATGTTAAAGCACAATGCAGTACAGTAAACCAGAACTGCTTTTTTATTATGTTGAGCTGAGTGTATGGATGTATTTTTATAAAGATAGAAATTAAATAACTGGTTTCCCTCTTCTGCCCTCTTCCATGACCAATCACACATGAGTACTAGCACATATCTAATTCATTTATGTGTAAACTTCCACTAGTCGAGATTCTCATTATATTAAAAAAGTATTCAACAGAACCTCAAAGTTTTGTATGGTCACCACGTTTGTTAACCAGTAACTTTAAGATCAATCTACACAAAAGTTCACAACTCTAGCTACAATGGTACATCAGTTAGCATCATAAAATAGAATTTTTGTGTAGTTGCTCAACAATGTACAACAATATTTGAACAGAAGTTGCATAATTGCCGAAGATCTACTATAACAAATTTCAAGATCAAGTGTCCCAGTGTCGATCCCAACTCAGAAGTTCGCACAGCCGCCATGTCAGAAAAATAAAACAGTGGGAGTAGTCTCCATGACGAATACGACAAGTTTAACGAAAATCCGGCAAATGGTTAAAAATTACTACAAAATCACATGTCCATCATAATTCTGTATTCATATTTAAACTGAAAACATGAGCTAAAATCAGTTTCTCACTGAATGCGAGGCTACTAACGTGGCTGCTTCCAAAACATTAGCGGTTTTAGTAAAATTAGTAATATGAATTTGAATTCAAAGCAGTATACACTTTTAAACACGAATCCAGAAATAGTGGTCATAATTTCCAGTAAGCAAAATTATGCCTGTCACCGAATCATGAAGTGGTGGATGTAAGAGAGAGATAAAATTCATGTTACAAAGGACCCGTAGTCGATAATCACAATGTAAAGTATAAGGGAAGGAAGGAATGAGTCATTCGACGGGGGGTTTTCAATGGTTCGCCTTGTTGTATCGGCAACTTCTCCGACATCAATGCGTTACACGCAAGCAAAGCAGGCGCGCGCGACAAATGCCGTTTTGAAGATCATGAACATCACACATCTACGGATATACAGCCTCCCAGAAAAAGTTTTGTGGTTTTTACAAAGAGCATACAATAAAAGCATAAGGGAGAAGTCGTGCTTGTCCGCACGCTTCATCTCCGGAACTTCTTGATGAAGTTTGGTATCAGAGTTTGAAATTAATTTTGGTCCCTGTTAGTCAAATATAACCTTACTTTAAATCATCAGCAAATTTATTTTCAAATTCTCAAAAAATAGATCATGAAAAATACTCAATCCCATTAACGCGTATAAATTTTATTTCAAAGATTGTGATATGCAGAGAAAACCGAACTGTAATAATTTGACTCTATAGGGTGTGATCAGCTCTCTTATAAGGAGTTCTTATTCGCAATAAAAAATTTGTTTGTGCAATAAATAAATATCAAGGCAAATGACGAACGCAAAACAAAAATAACGTGGAAATTATTCATATGCCAAGATATAATACGCCTTTTAACTTGTCCTCTATTGTTGCAGTTTCCAGTCACAGGATCAGAAGTACCACAATTGACATTTGTTTAATTACACTTTCCTCTTATACTTACAAGGGGACCCCGATCCCTTGAAACCCTCCGATTCGGCCCCGGTTTTGCAGTATGGCACTGGATTCTCCGATTGCTTCCCGGCCAAAATACTAGGTGTCGACACTTCACTGTTTCTTTGTAAAAAACAGTTACTTCATAAACCTTGCGAAAGCAGCCCCACTAACGTTGTTCGCCATATTTTAGCCGGTAGCTTGTCAGCATACGATGCAGGCGACCGCGGATTGACTCATAACGAGGCGATTTCTATTATCGCAATGTCTATATTATTATTATTATTATTATTATTATTATTCAGTGTTCTGTCTGACGACAGGTCCATATGAACAGGATCCTTCCATCCTTTTCTCGGACTGGGACCTGTCCATATACGTTCTTGGCAGATGATCCAGAAGTGGTTTGCCATAGCCTTCTTCTGTGTGTGAATGGAGTAATTGTTGGGATGCCACGGAGAAACCGGGGAAGCCCCCGGAGGAAAACTCCGTGTTGCCTAGACCACGGCCTTGCCCAACACAAGTTATAAATTCGGGCACCGCCGGGAATCGAACCCGAGACCCCAGGATTACAAGCCAGCGTTCTAACCGCTAGACCACCGTGGTTCCTACAATGTCTATAATAGCATTTAATTTACCTTTTAACTCTTTGCATCTATATTCTTCATTTGTTTCTTCACTCACGTTCGAGAACGGGAGCAGTGACTTTGGATTCCTGTAACTGTCCGACTTTCGAAACAATTCGGCAGCTTTAACTGTTTCTTCAGAAGTTGCATTGTCCTTAAAAATGATATATTTTGTCACGTCTTTGATTTTGTTTCTTCTTGAAAATTTGGCCGAGCCTGCAGATGCCTTCATGTTTTATTTTGAAATGTTCATACTGAGTTGACTGCACCCCACTCGTTCTCAAATGTGGATAAAGGGAAACAAGAGCAAAGAGTTAAAAATAAATAATATTGTGTCCTCCAAAGTCACAACAGACATGGCGATTAAAAGCCATCTAACTGGCAACATCCTCGGCCGCCCATAACGTATGCAAACAAGCTACTGACCCGAACTATCGGACAACGTATGTGGACCTGTTTTTACAAGATTTATGAAGTAAGTGTCGAAAGAGGGAAATAAAATCGCGTAT